GGCAAGATCAACAACCCACGGAGAGGTGTATCGATCGCTAAGGCGCAACACAACGTCTCGTACGATTGTAGTCGGATCGTCAACGTTTCTCCCAAATCGTAGTTATCACAACTCACCGAAAGATCGGGCCAACAACAACCTTGAGTGTCGAGAGGAACTCAGGGTCCATCACAAGTCCCCTTCCCCTCTTTCGCGCCAAGCAGGCCGTGCTCCAACCCCGGCTGGGCCTACTCCCCTAATCAAGAGTCCACCTTTGGTTTGCAGATGTCGCACAGTCTAGATTTCATTAGTTGGAATGTGAGGGGGCTCAATTCGCCAGCACGCTGCAACACGGTCCACGAGATGATGTTGGATACAAAGTGCAACCTAGCATGCCTCCAAGAGACGAAACTTCAGAACATCGATGACGGCCTCGCCCGCTTCCTGGGTGGCTACAAATTGGATATCTTTGCCTTCAAACCGGCCACGGGCACGAGAGGGGGAATTCTTATCCTTTGGAACAGTGCTACCCTCGTCCTACAAGATATTCGAATCAGCCGCTTTTCGATCTCAGCACAAGTAACGGTCCCACTCACAGGGGCTACCTTCCTTATGACCGGAGTGTACGGGCCCACGAGACACCGGCTTAAGGATTCCTTCCTTAGGCACATAAGGCGGCTAAAGCCCAATGCTGGCGAAGGGTGGCTCCTATTCGGGGATTTCAACATAATCTACCGAGCAAGGGACAAAAACAATGGCAACCTTAATCTAGCTCGCATGAGGCGCTTTCGAGCGACAATCGATCGATGTGAACTCCACGAGATCCCCTTGCAAAATAGGAGATTCACCTGGAGTAATGAGCGTCAATGGCCCACTCTAGTGAAGCTTGATCGTTGTTTCTGCAATGAGAACTGGGATCTCGCCTTCCATCACCATGTCCTGCATGCCCTCCCAACAGGGCCGTCAGACCACTGCCCTCTCGTTCTTTCAAATCCCGCTGCCCCGCGCAAGCCGCGCACCTTTAGATTTGAGAACTTTTGGACATGCATTCCGGGTTTCAAGGATATGGTCAAGGTTAGTTGGACCCAGCCTTCCCCGCACACAGAGCCAATGCACCGCCTAAATCACAAGCTACAGCGCACAGCTTCTTGCATTAAAACCTGGGCTAAAAGTCTATTCACGGAGGCGAAAATTCAGTTTCACATGGCACTCGATGTCATTCAGCGGCTTGATGTGGCCCAGGAACACAGAGATCTCTCTGGCCCGGAATTGCGGCTGAGAGCAGCACTAAAGCGCAAAACTCTGACTCTCGCCACGATAGAGAGGGAAAGGAAAAGACAGGCTTCCAGGTTGACTCATATCCGTGAAGGGGAGGCAAACACAAAGTTTTTTCATCTCAGGGTGAATACGCGTAGGAGGAAGAATAGTATTCAAAGGCTCCGCAAAGAAAATGGCTGGGCAGTCACTCACGATGAGAAAGAAATGACCATCCTTGACCACTTCGCCCATTTAATGGGTCGGCCGGGGCCGAGGACAAATGAGCTCAACTGGGAAGCTCTAGACATCCAGCCTTTCGACCTCTCTACCTTGGAAGAGCCTTTCTCGGAGCAGGAGATCCACAGGGCTATCAAAGAGATGCCAGTTGACAAATCGCCAGGGCCGGATGGTTACACTGGTATCTTCTTTAAAAGTTGTTGGGATATCGTCAAGGAGGATGTTTCCCTTGTCTTCAATTCCATCTTCAACCTCCGCTGCGCCAGCTTGGGCCTCCTGAACTTAGCGAATATTGTGTTGATCCCGAAGAAGGAAGGGGCGGAGAGTGTTTCGGACTACAGGCCGATTAGTCTAATCCATAGCATAGCCAAAATCTTCTCCAAGCTGCTGGCGTTGCGGCTGAGGCCCCACATGCGCTCCTTGGTCTCCATCAACCAAAGCGCCTTCATCAAGGGAAGAAGCATTCATGACAACTTCCTCTTTGTGAGGAACATGGCCAGAAGATTTCACCGTACGAATCGGCCGATGCTCCTCTTCAAGCTCGACATCACGAAAGCATTTGATTCTATTCGTTGGGACTACTTGATGGCCCTTTTGCAACGCCTAGGCTTCCCTGTAAAATGGAGATACTGGCTAGGTGCCCTCCTCTACACATCTACCTCGCAAGTTCTTCTCAACGGCATCCCTGGTCAAAGAATCACGCATGGGAGAGGACTTCGGCAGGGAGACCCGTTGTCTCCGCTCCTTTTTGTCTTAGCAATCAACCCTCTCCAACGTCTCCTTACAAAGGCAACAGACCTGGGTTCGCTCTCTAAGCTTCGAGGCATAATGCCTCGCCTGAGAACATCTATGTATGCAGATGACGCTGCCATTTTCGTCAATCCCACAAGAGGGGATGTCCAAGCGCTCACGGAAATCCTGCAACGTTTCGGCACGGCCACTGGACTCGTTACCAACTTCCAAAAATCTCAAGTCGCGGCCATCAAATGCAATAACATTGATTTGGACGACATCTTAGAGGGAGTCCCAGCAGTGAGAGCATGCTTCCCGATCAAATACCTAGGACTCCCCCTAATCCTCGGGCGGATGCGAAAGGTGGACGTGCAGCACATCTTTGATAAGATCACAGGGCGTATAACGGGATGGAGAGGCAAAAACATGGGACTTGCCGGGAGGTCCACACTTGTAAAATCAGTGCTAACGGCGCAGCCAATCTACTTATTGACCGCTCTGAAAACTTCAAAGGAAGCCTTGGAGTGCCTAGACAAGCAGCGGCGACGTTTTCTCTAGGCTGGCACGGGGGACATCACGGGTGGAAAATGCAAAGTCAATTGGACAAAGACGTGTCTGCCAACTAGGCAAGGAGGCCTCGGGGTCCTGAACCTAGAAAAATTCATGAGAGCCCTGCGTCTACGCTGGTTGTGGCATGAATGGAAGGACCCAAACAAGCCATGGGTTGGTCTCGAGGTCCCCTGCGACGAAGTAGACAAGAGCTTGTTTGCCGCATCCACTAAGATAACCATTGGTGATGGGAATATAGCGCGATTCTGGGACTCTGCGTGGATCGATGGGAGAAGACCAAAGGACCTCATGCCCCTAGTATACGCAATTTCTAAGAAGAGGAAAAAGACCCTGCGCCAAGGAAAGGAGAATGATGCCTGGGTAGGTGATTTGGCACTGGAGACAAACCCAGTAATTACAGTGCCCCTTGTGGAGCAGCTGGTTGCCCTATGGACTGCAATCCGCAATGTGCAGTTAGAAGAAGAAGAGTCAGACCAAATCGCCTGGAAGTTCACTCCTCATGGGCACTACTCGGCTTCATCGGCCTACAAAGCGCAGTGTGTTGGCGCGCCTGACACAACTTTTGACTCCTTGATCTGGAAGGTCTGGGCGCCCGGAAAATGCAAACTCCACGCTTGGCTTATCATACAGAATAGGGTTTGGACCTCTGACCGGCTTGCGACCAGGGGTTGGCAAAATAATGGCAGGTGCCCTCTCTGCAGAAGAGAAGATGAAACGGCTTTGCACCTCGTCGCCGAGTGCAAGTATACGAGACGCATTTGGAACCTCGTTGTGACATGGGTAGGGTTCCACCAGCTAGAACCCCGACGCTGGGGGTGGCGCAATCGGTCAAAGATTGGTGGGAAATGCTGGCCTCTGTGTCTGGCGTCCCCAAGAAGGGACTCCGCACCCTGATTCTACTCATCGTATTGGAAGTCTGGAAGGAGCGAAATAGGAGGATATTTGATCATAAGGAAGCCGCAACCTCATATCTCCTTTCAAAGATAAAAGAAGAGGCTGGCATGTGGGCCTTGGCAGGCGCCAAGCGTCTTGGAGAGATCATCCCGCAATTTGTATAGTGTACAGCTTTCCTTGTTTTTTGCTTTTTCTTTACCCCTATGGGTTGTATTTTTCTCCTGCTATATTCAATGAATAAGCACATCCTTGTGCTGGTTCCTTTCAAAAAAAAAAAGGTAGCATTACATTTGCACCATTTGAAATGTCTTAAAATAACTTGTGCAATGTTTACTTCACATTTTACTTCTTCTGAACTATATCTTTAAAATAGAATACTAGTATTATTGTTGCAAAATTTAGTTTGGCCTTAACCAAGACATTCCAGTCCATCCTGTTTTCAACTGCTCAGTTAATTACTTTGATGTGTTATTTAAGAAAGCGATTACTTGCCACTACACGCGATAGAAAATGAAATGATTTGCTTAACACTTATAGAGGTATTCTCACCATCTCATAAAAAGGGGATCATTACACCTCATCCATGGCACCAAATAAAAAATGATTTGCAATATTCACCTCTTACCTTTTCTTAAAAAAAAAAAACAACCAAATGGAAAACTGGATAGCCACATCCTTGACAATGTGAATGGCTATGTCCCATCCATCCATTCTTGACATGAACCGAACATACCCCACAACATCCAAAATGGCTACATGATTGACAAGCTACATAGTAACAACTCTTCTATAAATTCTACAAGCCTTTGCTGAGACATTACAATTTTTCAATCATTATGGTTCGAACCATAATCTAATCAAGTTTTTTTTCTCTCACCTTTCTTGTTCAATTTGAAGACTACACTGATAACATATATAACAGAGGAATACATTTTGCTCAGTAGAAAAATTCACACCAACATTGCACAAGTCGATCGACTTGAATTCCTGCACATGAGTCACATGCGGAACAAATTCCACTAAGATCGAAAAAGCGACCAGTACTACATGAAAGCTCGAAAGGCGCCTTTACTCCTTTACCATGTCGTTTTTTTACTCCAAGTTCGACAAAACTTGGAAACAAACCTGGCTGCCACACGGGGTGTACAGTGTACTACGTACATGAACCGAATTGACACACAGTGCACGCACTCGATGCGTGACAACGAACCTGTTCCCCAAGTGGCGAAGCGTGAACCCCTCCCTCGATATGGAAGGGGAAAAGAAAACGTGCAACCAAAACAAATAGAAGGAAAAGTGACAAAGCCAGCGTGGAAGTGGCAGCACAGCAGCGAAGCTGACCCAACCGCAACAGCTATAAAATCCGCACATATGAGTACGCCTTCGTCGGCTCAGCTCGATCGCCTGATACGCCCAAATTAAACCACGGAGAATAACTCTTACAAAGGAGCAGAGTAGCGTTTGATTTGCAGCCGCAAAACGATCGAGACGTCAGCAGCATGGGAGCCGAGGTTATCCAGCAGCAGCCGGCGGTGCTTCTCGTGCCGTTCCCCGCGCAGGGTCACGTCACGCCCATGCTTAACCTGGCGCGCGCCCTCGCCGCGCACGGCGTCGCGGCCACGGTCGCCGTGCCGGACTTCATCCACCGCCGCATCGCCGGCGCCGCCGCCGCCGGCGGCCGCGCGAGGGATAATCAGGCCGTCGGCGGCGGCGTGGAGCTCGCCTCCATTCCGAGCGGCATCCCCCACCTCCCGGCCGGCGAAAGCGGTGGCGGCCGGCACGCCGACGACCAGCCGGGCTTCGGCGCCATCGTGCACGCCATGGAGCACCACATGCCCGAGCAGCTGGAGCGGATGCTGCTGTCGACGGCGGGCCGGGGCCGCGTCGCGTGCCTCGTCGTCGACGTGCTGGCCTCGTGGGCCGTCCCCGTGGCGGAGCGGTGCGGCGTGCCGGCGGCCGGGTTCTGGCCGGCCATGCTCGCCAGCTACCGCGCCGTCGCCGCCATCCCGGAGCTCCTCCGCAAGGGCGTCATCTCAGAGTCCGGTACGATCGATATCGACACTATGCACACCACGCACGCGCGTTATTACAGTTTTAAATACTCTACTACTTGTTTTCCTTACTGATTACTGCACCGGCCACGGCCAGGCCGGCGGCCGCACGTCGTATCACGTTAGAGCCGAGTTGACTCTCGAAACGAAAAGCTTAATTAAGCTCCTCTTAATTCCTCGTCTCTTTGCTTGCATGCATGTCATGCGCCGCCGATGCTGGCGCGTGGCCGGCGTGCTCATCGCATGCGTTTTCTGCAGTTTTCGCGGTAAACACGGGCAAAGCCGGCAGCAAATTAAGCTATAGCTAAGGAAGCTGGCTGATGGATAGTACGATGATGTTTGAGATTCTTTTCATTTGGATCGCGATCCCGAATCATAGGCGGCGATCGATGTTTTAATTATTTAAGCTTAAGTTCATTGATTATTTATTACTAGCTCATGTATTTTATACAGGTGAAGAAGTAGAGAAGCTAGGAGAAACACTGCCGGCCGCAAAGTAGTTTTTTAATATAGTATTTTATCGTTTCATATTATAAGTCATTTTAACTTTTTCTAAATTATATTTTTTACTAAATTTATAAAAAGTATAGCAATATTTTTAACACAAAACAAATAAACTATCAAAATATATTCGATGTTGGGTGTAATGAAACTAATTTGATGCTATATAAGTATTGCTATATTTTTTTTAAACTTGATTAAATTTTTAAGAAGTTTGACTTAAAAAAAAGTTAACATGACTTATAATAAAAAACGAATGGAGTGTTAGAATCTCTATCTCCAGCTATACTGATGTGATCTAACATATCGAGAAAGCTAAAATAGTCGCCATCAGCAAAAAGAACAGCTACTTCCTTTGATAAAATATACTACTTATGTTTAACTCTTTTTTACGATCCTAGATATATCACTTTGACAATGGTTTTTTTACTGGAATAAGGTTTATAAATCTAATAAGTTTACATGATTATGAGAGTACTTTTTAAAATAAATCTATACATATCATTTTTATGTGTTGGGACAAAATATTTAAAATATATTAATAATCAAAATTTAACCAGAAAAAATAAACATCAATTGGAGTAAAAGAGTTCATTTAAGCTAGGAGAATTATATACAGTTTGGGTCAACTTTTATTACCAAAATTTCACTTTTGATCATTGTTTACTCAATCTTTACACTTTGAGCTAGGTGATTTTACATTTGTTGGCAATCTTCCCCACTAACGTGTAGGCCACCCTTTGCAAGAGGCGAGGCTGATTGCGGATAACTTAGAGTAGTCCAAAGTATAAAGACCAATTTAACTAATCCAAAGTGAAAAAAAATGGATGAAGCGTGGTCCAAAATAAATTTTTAGTAATAAAAGATGACATAATATGTAATTTACTCTTAGTGTGGGTTCTAAACTCCGTTTTAGCTTGACTATGCTTTTCAAACTGTTAAATAGTAGCGTGTTTCATGTGAAAACTTTATATATAAAAGCTGATTTTAAAAATTAAATAAATCTATTTTTCAAGTTATTAATTATTGATACTCAATTAATCATATGCTAATCACATCAATTTCTCGTTTTATGTGCAGCTGATCATTCGTTTCAAAAATCACTTTAGAACACGCCCAAAGCATATGTGAGGCTCAGCTTGTACATACTTGATTCTAGACGGTATCTAACATGGAAAATTAGGGGCTCCTTTGGATTCAATGAATTTCGAAGGATTTTGTGGATTATTGAAATCCTTAGAAATTTTTTTCCTATGATGTCCTTCTGTTCATGCTCTTTTGAGAGTAACTATTCCCTCCGTGTTAGAAAAAAAATCTTCATAACTAAAAATACAGTCTATATCTATTTTTTGGGTTTTTCTTAGGACACAGGGATTAGGCGCGATAAGACACTGCATATGCATGTCAGTTCAATCCACGCCATCAAAATAGCAGTTCAAATTGCGTGGTACACAACTTGATCATGAACATCCATTTTGCCATACCCCATACACCATGTGAGGGCTTTTTAGTCTTTGAGGCGCATGATTGGTACGTTCGATCAAGTTGCATATTGCAAAATTAATGTTCTATGTCAGTTGGTGAATAATATCGACTTAAATTAATCACTCAATAGCGTGCTACATGTAGTTTGCTTGTGGCAATACGATTGTCCACGCTTAATAAATCCTTGCAAGTAATTAAGGCTCCCATATGGATCAAGTAGCTAGTACGTTTTTGATAGTTATGCCCAAACATGATTGGGTCGATTTTGCAATATGTTACCTTCAATTGCACGTTCGAACAGCCGGTGGGACCCGCATGATTTCGTTTTCCAGCCAAGTGCTCTGGATCGATCTGATCCATCTGGCCTGTGGCCTGGCATGGCTGGCTCCACATTCCATTTCACTGTTTTTGAAGCATAATAGTACTCCACTCCCTTTTGTTAAAAAAAAAACATACAGGATCTGACGCATACTATAATACTATGAGAATTTAGACATGAGGCATATCTCATACTATTTTTTTTAACAAAAGGAGTAAACCCTCTTTAAAAAAACAATTAAATCTTGTTAAGAATATGGACATGTGCTTGAATCTGCACAAGCATATGTTTAGATTCATAGTTATAATTTAAAATTTTCTAGGATAGAAGAAATAACTGTGGGGTATTTTTAGCTCAATTTTGAACTAGGCGAGATCTCACAAGAGTTGACTTCTCTCTTTCGGCAGACCACATCACATGTGATTGGTTCTCTCTTCCTTCCATAATGCAGTACTTCCAACATCCAAAGGGGATAATAATAACAAATGATTAAGACTTGGTTCATCTGCACATAAAAAAGAATATTAGGAGTACTATCAGCCCTGAGAAAAATATGGGCCAGAGTCTAGAAGACCTCGATTTTCCTTCTCTTTTTTTTTTAAAAAAAAAACTCTCCATTTGATTGACAAAGGAGAGAGTATTGACACCAGTCCCAAAGAACAAGGGAAGCACAGAAAACAACACAAGAAAACTGAAAAAAGAACACCAGAACAAACAACACGCTGGATTTTCCTTGTTTTTATACGTTCAAAATGACTTAACTGTTAATTTGATGGTACTCCTTGATAAGAAATATTAGGAGTAGCTATGACGCTGCATTTTCTTTTACCAAAAATAGTCGGATCGTCATTTTTTACATTGTAAATAACCTACACCCATGTTGTAACTACTACACTGTAAATTTTAAAACTTACACTATAATTACTTCCTCCGTTCTAGATTATAAGTCGTTTTGGATTTGGTCAAAGTCAAACTACTTCAAATTTGACTAAATTTATAGGCAATATAGTAATATTTACAACACCAAATTAGTTTTACTAAATCGATAATTGAATATATTTTTATAATATATTTATCTTGGGTTAAAAATGTTACTATTTTTTTCTACAAATTTGGTCAAACTTGAAACAATTTGACTTTGACCAAAGTCAAAACGACTTAAATGTGAAGCGGATGGAGTATATTGTAAGTTTTATTATTGACATTAAGTTTTTTTTCTACTATATATACCTCAAATATAAGGGATCCTAGTTTCTTTCGAAGAGATTAAGGAGGAAGAAAAAAAAGACAATGATGCTCCTCTATAAATATGATATAGCTAGTGGTGGAGAGATGATTGGGGGTAAAATAGAGAGAAATTTGAACGTGAGGTAATGGATGTGACAAGTAGTATTATAGACTCTCTATATTGAGACACAGTTTGAATATCTTGATCCAATATATTATAGGATAGTGTAGTAATACGCAATGTATAAGAGAATTATGATTAAAAGTAATTTATTATTTACTTGGAAGAGGGGATAGAAGAGATAGAAGCATACTTAATTACATACATATAAGAGAGCAATTACATATGAAAACAATAACTGAAATTAAGTGAAAAATGTGATATCATATTTTTAGAAAGCCCAAAAATATTTATCATTACTTGACTTTCCATGCTAAATCCACATTTGCGGGCCAAACTAAGGTTGTGTTGGGCCAGACGTACCGTCCATGAACACCATCACCCAACTAGTTCAGTGACTTGTAGTCATGCGTGTAGATATCGATCGGGCCGCGGTCGTGCGTACGTATTGCAGGCATGTAGAACTTGAGAAAATCTTCTCGCCTGACTTATCTAGAGCACTTATTATATGTGTTGGTGCCACGCGCGAGGTTTTTCTAAAGGCTAAAGCCGATAGATATATGTATTACCTTTCCTTTGTTGCACGAGTTGTTCGTGCAAATGAACACCAAAAATTGGCCTTGTCAACCACAACTTTTTTCCATATAAGGAGCTCTACAATATAATATTATCCGACAAATGGTATTTGCTAGCTAGTAAAATGTACTAGCATCGTGCAGCACAGGATACACACGCATGCGCTTTGGCACGTTGAAGAGGACGAAGATGAATACTCCCACCGTTTCTAAATATTTGACACCGTTAACTTTTTAGCACATATTTAACCGTTCGTCTTATTCAAAATTTTTTGTGAAATATGTAAAACTATATGTATACATATAAGTATATTTAACAATAAATCAAATGATAGGAAAAGAATTAATAATTACTTAATTTTTTTAATAAGACGAACGGTCAAACATATTTAAAATAGTGAACGAAGTCAAATATTTAGAAATTGAGAGAGTAAATGACTTAGCCAGTACTATCGTACGCGACTAGGCGTGTGAGGTGACGGCAGTTTTGGCAGCCCGACCGGTCGATCGATCACCACGTTGATCGGATGCATGCCTCAGCTGCATGGTATAATGTGGCTGAAAGTTGCACATAGCCTTTTGCATATGCGTCAAGCGTCTATACGATTCGATGCATGGCCCGATCGATCGAGTGATCGTGACTGCATTGCCGAGTGCCGACACGAGTTACGGCGCTTCACGAGACCACTGGAGATCGATCAGAGCTAAGCCTAGGACATCATTTTGTTTGTCGTGTGTGCGCAACTGTTTATATGCACGTGTAGCTGCTTCAATTCACTGAACGGGACGGGGATGTTTGATTTCTGACGTGAAGGTACTCCCGCTGTCTCGTCGAATCAGCTCGACGACAAGGATGGTCGGGAGGAGGAGCAGGTGGTTCGAGGCCTTGGCATCCTCCCGGCGCAGCTCGAGCTGAGCACCAAGGAGCTCCCATGGCTCGTGGGCGACTCGGCTACCCAGCGATCGAGGTTCGCCTTCTGGCTCCAGACGCTGCGCCGCGCCAGGGGCTTCCGCTCTGTCCTCGTCAACTCCTTCCCCGGCGAGGCCGTCACCGGCACTGCCGCCGCCGAGGACGACGACGGGCCGCAGCGGCAGGCCGCCTGCCCTCGCGTTCTTCCCGTCGGGCCGCTGCTTGTGCTCGCCGGATGCAACGTAGAGCGCGCGAAAGGCGCCGGCGACGACGGCGGCGTCGCGGCAACGAATATTAACAACCACCCGCAGCCGTGCAGCAAGAACCCCAGCATGTGGCAGGCGGACTCGACGTGCATCCGCTGGCTGGACGCGCAGCCCGCGGCGTCGGTGGTGTACGTCTCCTTCGGCAGCTGGGTGGGGCCGATCGGCCACGACAAGATCCGCGAGCTCGCGCTCGGGCTCGAGGCCACCGGCCGCCCCTTCCTGTGGGCGATCAAGGACGACCCGTCGTGGCGCGCCGGCCTCCCCGCCGGCTACGCAGGGAGCGTCGCCGGCCGCGGCAAGCTGGTGGACTGGGCGCCGCAGGACGACGTGCTCGGGCACGCGGCCGTCGGGTGCTACCTCACGCACTGCGGCTGGAACTCCACCGTGGAGGCCATCCAGCACGGCGTCCGCATGCTGTGCTGCCCTGTCTCCGGCGACCAGTTCATCAATTGCGCGTACATCACCAGGGTCTGGGAGGTCGGGCTCAAGCTCGGCAGCGTGCGCCGCGACGTCGTACGTGACTGCATCGAGAGGATCATGGGAGGCGCGGAAGGGACGCGCCTGCAGGAGAAGATGGACGCGCTGAGGCAGAGAGCCGTGACGGCCGAGGCCAGGTGCTTGGCGCAGGGGAACCTCAGGTCTTTCGTCAACGAAATCAAGAGAGACCACCCGTTGTTGACGCAGATTTACAACATATTGTAGGATCGGTATTATATATGCTTGGGCAGGCCCGCAGGTGCATGTACATTATTAGATGTACAATTGTACATTGTTAGTATCTTTCTCGTCACCGGTTAAGTGCCTGTTGAAATGCGTACCTTAGTAATCTAGTGGTACTGTATCAAAGAATGCGCGCTCTTATTGAAGGATCGAAGTTAATTCAATGGTTAGGTTCGGATTAGAGTTCGCCAATCAATTGTCGACACGTCGAAATGCTGTGAGCTTGTGAGAGAAAAAAAAACCCGAAGGGTAGTCATCTGAAGGCCGAAATGTGAAAAAGGAAAGGATCTGATCAAGGAGCACCAACGTACAAGTAGCAGGAAAAGTAGCGATGGTAGTGCAGACTGCAGAGCGAGCAGGGGATGGATGGTGACCACCGCAGCCGATGTCCCCCGGTGTGGTGCGTTTTCCATGTGTTCATTTGCATTTTGCAGGCAACTAGGCAAGGGTGTCCTCCCGTTCGAGCGACATGTCTTCGTGGATGCTCAGGATCAAGATGAGAGTTGACAAGTTGTGCTCAGACTTTAGACAAAACTGAAGAAAAAAACAAAAAAAAGACGACAAAAAACTGTAAAATGAAAAATACAGTAAGAGAGAAGATCGGAGTTGGAAGGGTCAAATCGCGAACTCGTCTTCAGGCCCAGCCCATCTTCTAGTTTTTTGGAAGCCCGGTCTGGCTATGGATGGGCCCATCGGCCATTGCATCGAGCTTAAAGACTGGCTCAAGCATATTCGCATCGAAGAGAACACGGCGTGGTTCCTGTACACGAATCCGGCACGCACAAAGCGGTCCAGCGCCACACGTCTCAGGGGCGCCACGGTGGAGGAAACGATAAGCTGATAAGGTAACACAGTAGACACAGTTGCTGGAGCATCTCAGCTTCCAGGAGCGCGAGAGAAAATCGATCATGGCGAGAGCCTGCAGCCCCGCGTTGAGGCTGCAGCTGCCGCCGAACCCGCCGATCACGCCGCAGCTCCCGAGCTGCAGGACTCACTCCGCTGGCGCCAGGTGCAGAGGCTTCGCCGCCGCCCACTCGCAGCCGCCTGCAGCCGGGCGCCCGGACGAGCCTGCCGCGGAGCCGTCACCGAAGCAACCGGAGATCGCGCAGACGCAGGTGCAGACTCTACGTACGTGCGCATCTTGTTCTAGACTGGAACTCCTCCTGAGTTTTCAGTGCTCAAGGAGTTAGAGGTAGAGAGTAGCTCGATCATTCGTCTGATGTGCTGGCTCGCTGCTTGGTTTCAGAACCTCAGGAGGAGCCGCAGGAGGGGGCCGGGGTCGCGGCAGAGCCTCGTGTCCGTCGGGACGTCGTGCGGCGGAGGGGATCAGTGGAGCAGCGACTTCGACCTGACGCTGCGGCAGCTGCACCTAGACGACCTCATCGAAGACGGCCAGAACGACGACGCCGACGTCCTGGTGCACCTCCTAGTTCAGCAGGTAGGTTGATCGAGCAAGCCGCGAGCTAGTGAGATTTAAGTAGGTAAACGGATCAGAATACAGGGCCTGACTGGTAATTGGTGTGTGAGATCTGCTTCCAGCATACTCAGTTTGGAATGTCAATCAAAGGCCGAGTGGTCACGTCCTTCAGCAAAATATGCGATTCCTGCTCCTCGCCGTACTGCGCAAAGGTGCAATTCTCTCGCTTCAAACCTTCTACTAGTATGCAAGTTCTGACAAGCAAGAAACGTTGTTTGGGACACTGTTGCACTTATAGAAAGCATTGAATGGTAGTGTGCTTTTGTTATTGCAGATTGATGAGCAGTTCAACCTCACGGTGCTGTCCTCAACCAGGAAAGAACAGAGTGAGATGCCTGATATTGGAGACAGCGATCCATCTGTACGTCTGTCAGTTTCATACTTTCAGCGAACAGCAACATAAAGTTGAAAAACCCAATTATTGTCACTCAACCTTAAAATGTGGCAACTACATCCTCTACTTTTGAGCAGGTTATCTACGTGAGACCAGGTGTAGAGGTTGATCTTGACTCCGTGATCCAAGAGACGATACGGCTAACGGCATCTGCCAAGGTTTTCCCTGACAGCAAGTCGTATTGACCCCTTTTCTTCACGGGCACCTCTTACTGATTAAATTAATTTATGGACGTCATGCAGAGTTCATGCTCAGAGGCATGCGAAAAATCTACTGTCGTATGGCAATGTATGCACTTACCTGAACTAGCTTCAATTTATTTCCAGTTAGTGATGCAGACAGAGATCATTGAAACGCTTTCTCATCTCTGAATCCACAGATGGTGGTAACCAGAAGAAGCGTTACAGCCAACGGTGGTCGAAACTTCTGGACCTGAAGAAAACTCTGGATAAGGCGGCTAACTGAACCACGACGCACATTCATTCAACAGAATGAACACATGCTAGTACAAAATGAGTCAAATGACGCTGGAACCCAAGACGCAGCGGATTGCTCTACCAAAATACAAGTGTTTCTGGCTATATATCTTATATCCGAACAAGGAACGGAGGGTGTAGCAGAGAAACAAGCTGCATCGCAACCCGCTAGCTCTTCGATCTGATCATCTGAATCCTGTGTATAGAACTGTGCCATGTATACGTATAGATGACAATAAACATCACTGGACACGATTAGCCAGTTAGCACACTGTAAATTTTTTGGGGAAAAATGAATCAGAGTTTCTGCCATTTATCCCAATCAACCAAATTTGGGCCGACCAGACCACCTACGTTTCCGTCGTCAGGAAGGCCCAATCAACCCGGCCCATCTCAGCTGCTCCTCACCAGTCACAGCTCACAGGCAGGCCACCGCCCACCGGGGCGACGCGCCGGCGCCGGCGCGCTGATGGGCGATGCAACCATCCCCCGTCCCCCGCCCAAGCTCCAGCCAGCGATCCTCCGCCGATCAGCGCCCATTTCCCTCTCCCACTCGCTTCTCCTCGCATCGCATCCAAGCTGGCTGCGCGCTCTCGGGCAGATTGAAGCAGTGGCGGCGGATGGAGGAAATCCCCAGCGGAAGGGCCGGAGATCCGGAACTCCGGTGGAAGGTGGAAGCACGCTGGAGCGGAGCTGCGGAGGCAAGTACGTTTTGACTCCCTCTAAAAATAGACTACGCACATTATTATTCCCTGCATTTTTTCTATTGCTTGCGTGCAAATGCCCTAGCCCAAATGGAGTTGAAAGATACTCTGAGCCGTCAAAGACCAGATAGGAGGATCGTAAGAGCAAATCTGCAATCTGACTAGATAAGATCGTAAGAGCAAATTTGCAACCTGACCAGTTAAAGATAGTAAGAGCGAAATTGCAGCTTGACTAGATAAGATAGGCAAGATGTATCATAAGAGCAAATTTGCAATCTGATCTGACTAGATAAGATCATAAGACTTAAAGAGCAAATTTGCAAAAACCTTGACTAGATAAGATCATACAGTAAGAGCAAGTTTGCAACCTGACAAAAATAGGATTGATACTTAGATCGTAAGAGTTACAGTTGTGTTTGATTTTTTAGGAGGGAGACTCTCCGTTTTTCTATTATCATAAGCCAGACGGTTCTACAATGAGGTATCTCTCCCGTTTGTTACCCAAGAATAAACAGTTCTTCAAGGTCAGAATGTGTTTAGACTTCTACTACCCGTTTTCATGGTAGAGTGAAATATGCAGTGATAAATCAATTACTATAGTTAAACAATGCTTGTTTTAAGCAAGTTCTTTACCGAGGGAGACAAAAAGCACCAGAGTACCAGACAAGTTCTGTCATGTGCTTGACTACCCATAAATCATATAGTAGTAATAATAAATAGAGAAATGTTCCAAATGATTCCTAAATCTTTACACAGCCACTTATAAACTTCAAAGAGAGAATTCTACACTTTTAGACCAGCTATGACTACTCATTAGTTACCGAGGAATGTATCCACTTTGGCATTGGCAGCCCTTGATAAGAACTTCATGCAAAGCGGAGGATTCACGTTGACAAGAGAAAGAACAGCCTGAGGTAGGGCCCATAGCCCATCACCGCACATCAAGCCCGACGCAACTGCTGGACCGAACGACTGCGCTTCATCTTTGTTCCTCCATTCCCAGAAATAGAGAATTACGCTGCCCATGAACATATCAATGGCGAAGTATGGTCCAAGATAGAAAGGAATTGCTGCTGCCATGGGGATCGGGATGTACTTTGCCACTCTCTCTGGTACCAGGTCTTTTATCAGATTGATGATGAAGGCAGCAACAAAGGCTATGTAGCATAGTGTAAGGCAGTACTTTGGCAATGAGGATAATCCATTGACACCCAGAATCGCCATGTTACGGTACATAATGGTGTAAGGTGCTGGGTAAGCACCATCACTTGCACCGATATTAAAGGATTTGTAGAACAGCCAGAAGACGCAGGGTGCAATAACACACCCCATGGCAGTACCTATCACCTGGCTGACAAACATGGATCTTGGCGAGGCTAAAGTCATATATCCAGTCTTGAAGTCTTGCATAAGATCAGAAGCTGTTCCCACAATGTTCATCATGACACCACAGGCAGCCAGTCCTACAAGCACACCACCATGCGAAGCGCCTGCCCACGCACCAAACACAAATATTGCAAGCTTACCGTAGGTGGTGGCGAGGGACCAATCTGTCAGGCCACTTCCATAGGCATTGCAGAAGGCCATTATAGGTGCAAATATATATGCAATCAATATATAGTACCACTTGAGCTGTGGGATAATGAGAGGGAGGCAACCACTCGTTATAACTGCAAGAACAACATAGCCCCCAATCGCAACTGTCTTGGGAATTTGATCCTTCAGGAATAGTTCATTGCGACGCTTGTCATCAAATGACTCCTCTTCAGTGGCGTTGGCAGGAGTGCCATTGTCGGAGATAGGAAGCGTGTTTGAGTTTTTGTTCTTATACATAACTATGAAGCCTTTGATTGTGTAGCCGAAGACCTTCACAAAGTTGTAAAGGCCATCCCCAAGAATTACTGCTATGGTTATGAACACCTGCATCATTCTTAGCATGTCAGTTTCTGGAGTCTGGACAGCTAGAATGTTTACAAAAGAAAAAAAAAAAGGATCCTACACTAACCTTGTAAGCCTGCAGTCCAAGTAGACTACTTTCTGGAAGTGTCTCGGGGTACCAACTTCCTTTCTTCTTGCTTATGAGTGGCCACATTATGCCCCATGAGATGATGCCACCAATGAGAAGAGACACATTCACGATATAGGGGCAGATCATTCCAACACCAACATAGGTAGGTGAGAAATCAAAATAGAACCTGGAAGATGTGAACAGTTGAATATCAGTAATTTCAAGTGTATATCGACACAGCTGCTGATGCTGAAAGAGATGTAGTCATATCAACCTGTTCTTAAAAGCCTCAAGGCCAAATGTCGGGAAGGAGCTAAACCCGCAGTTGTCCCCAGCAGTGTAGAACCACTGGAAGAAAGCCCAGAGGAAGCTAATCGAAAAGTACTTGCCTAATGTCCGGACTTGTTTCCTGAAACAGTCAACGATTGTATCGTATCAGTGTACTGCTTGTTCTACCTGTTAATCTGTTACAAACAACAAAGGTAGACTTATTGCTTACTTTGCAAGATCAGCACCCTCAGGTGTGTGGAATCCGTTAATAAGGTAAGCAGTTGCAGTGCCACTTGGGTAGGTCAGTTTATAGTCCACAATCATCACCTGATAAGAGAGTTACAGTTGAGTAGCAAGTAGATTTTGACATGCTGTGTGTTAACAATGGGAGTAGAGAAAGGAAGTGAAATAGATACCTTTCGCATGGGCACCAGTGCAAATAGCCCAACAAAACTGACGAGGAACATGAACCCGATGATCCATCCAAGGTGAGGATTCTTGATATTCATCGGATCATTAGCCTCTGTTGCTTGCTTAGCTATGGTCTCGCTCATACCAAACAAGTAACTGCCAAACCCACCTGAACAATTGGAACAGATTATAAATCAAGAAAACTGCTAGACAATTCTATTGATTTTTAGTATCAAACATTCAGTAAAAGCCTGAAAGGAATAACCAAAATTTGCATAGACAGTCCTTCAATTCAGTGGAAAATCTTAATCTATTCGGGACTCGTCTGTTCTCCATGCTGCGCAGTACCCTGAGTTGCGTCTAAAGATCTAATAAAATCGATCGGCGACCCTCCGCTGTTCCTTCAGAAAAATAATCTAAGCTATAACTCTTGATCTATCATCACAGAGACCTGAACACAAGCACATATTGCTAATATCTTTCTTTAGCAGATCTATTTTTCTATATAAAAGAATGTCCCAAAATAGATCCCTGAAAAGTGAAAAGCCAAGATCTTCCCAAACAACCGAATGCACAAAAACCACTTGGTCCGGTGCAACGGAAGTGGAGCAGGAATAAGAGATTGAGTTCGATCTTTTACCGCTGAAGGCGACGCCGTAGGCGGAGACGACGCAGGTCTGGATGACGGTGTTCTCCTGGCGGGTGAAGGGCTGCTTGAGGAAGCCCACCCTCTCGATGGCCGCCGTCCAGAGGCGGACGAGGAAGAAGCCGAGGAGGCTGGCGGAGACGTTGAGCGAGGGGATGACGCCGGTGGTGAGGGACAGCTTCATGACGATGATGTTGAACATGATGGAGAGGAGGAACCCGACCACGAAGGCGCGCACCGTCAGCTGCTCCCTCCACGACGGCACGGGCTTGTCCGCGAACGCCTGCTCCACGGACGGCGCCACCGCCTCCGCCTCCTCCTCCTCCTCCCCCGCATTGCCGCGGGCGGCGGCGGTGGTGTTGCGGCGGCGGAGGAGGCCGCCTGTCTCCGCCGCATCGTAGGCGGCCGAGCTACTGTTGTTGGCGGCGGCCGACGCCATGATCGATCTCTTCTAGCTAGTCCCTCGTCGTCTCAGGGTTTTGCTACGAGAGGACACACGTGGTGGTGTGTGCGGGATTATATGGAGAGGCCGTTTGGATGGAGGTCGACGAGATACGATCTGCCAGCTGCGTCTAGCCAGGTCAGGTGCTGCGCCGTTTGGATTTTCTGTCTATCTCCTGTTGAATCGAATGGCCCAGATTCCTATTACAGCACGTTTGGCTCCCGGTTGCGATCACGGTTTACAGTTCCTGTGGAAACCGGACTTTTCGGACGGGGTCTAAAGCACAAACCGCTCGATTTTTCGGTTAAGTTCAAAAATTATTTAAAATTTTTAACAAGATTTATCTAGATTTCATTGGTTTTTGTCAGTTTATCGACGGGTTCTGTAAAATCCAATGAAACTGCTTGTGAGAGGTTTTGATCCCATATCGAAATTGTGAACCAGGTTGCGATAAACCATCAACTTTTAAACTATTGGGAGATATATATTTTTTTAAAAAAAAAACTATTCGGAGATTAAGAGATATATTTCTTTTTTATCATCCGTTTCCTATTACAGCACGTTTGGATGTTAGGTATTTCCTGCTGGCTTTGTTAAGATAAACCATATAGCGCCACAGATATTGAGGACGTCAGTTTAATTTCCTGTTGGCTGTAAACATTTATAGTCAAGCATCATGGGATATCTTTCCTCGTTATGGACGGTGTAATAGTCACAGGTTGGAATTTGGATGTCAATTGCATTTACTGCTTTCATTCTTTCTTAGGTATATCTTCCGTCTTATAAAAAATAAATTTTAGAATGAATTTAAACAAGTGATTGCCCATATTCATCTTTAGAAGTTGGTTTTTTTAAGGATGGAATAAGTACACTTTGAAATGCATCGTTCACCATATTATTGTCGTAGATTGTTTATTTTTTGAAGGGTAAATCATTTTTTAAAAAATAAACTTAATAAATAGCATAGAATAAGGGGTCTAAACAATATAGAAATATTTTCTTTTTAAATTTTTTTTCCGAACTACACATCAAATAATTCACGGTAATAATCCAATGAATAAACTGAAAAGAACAATCCGGCGTGTTAGAAAATGCTTGCATATAGGGCAGAGCCAAAACAACACTCCTCTGCAAGCTTTCCTTTTTGTGCTGCATGAACGATGGAACTGGGATGCTTGCCTATAAGAGCCAAAGCAGCTCTCCTCCGCAAAGCTTTCCCTTTGTGCTGCTCCCTCTCCACCTGAACCGAATGCATGGCCTTAAACGGTTTAAATGTTAGGTTTCCAGGCTAAGCAAGCTAAGTTAAGGAACCATCTATTATTCTTCTTCGGTTAGAATGTTGTGTTACTCCTGTATTGGCCATGTCTATCCATAATGTTCATACTTTAGAGGTAGTTTATTTCAATCCTCTGTCACACTATTATTTTTTTTCTATAATTTGAAGGATGGCGTATAGTACACTGTCACCCCTAACATTTGGGGCTGTCTGCGTTAAACATTGTGAACTTCAGTAAATAGTAAATACTCCATATGCCACAAAAGAAATTAGTAGTCAAAGTTGATTTGGAGACAGTAGAACGCCACTTACTGATGATTGCAGGAATATATATACAATTACAACACTGGAAATTTGGAATCAAGGATTCAAGGATGATTGTCACACTCCACTAACATATACAGGTGTTCAGAGACAGATTATAGTACAATCCCTAACAGAACATACGATATCCTGATTGCAGGATGATTTTTTTTTTTTGAAACCGAGATTGCAGGATGATGACACAGATGATACAGAGTGGTTGTTCACATTGGCGATGATTTCAGGCTGATCACATCTAGTTACCCAGGAAACCATCCACTTGCGCATTCACCGATCGCGACAGAAACTTCATGCAGATCGGCGGCTTCACCTTGGCGAGGGCAAGGATGGACTGCGGCAATGTCCAGATGCCGTCGCCGCAGATCAAGCCGGAGGCGACCGCCGGCGCGAACGCTTCCGCCTTGGCCTTGTTCACCATCTCCCACACGAAGAGGATGACGGTGCCGATGAACATGTCGATGGCGAAGTAGGAGCCGATGTAGAACGGGATCGCCATCGCCATGGGCAGCGGGATGAACCTCGCCACCTTGCTTGGCGCCAGGTCCCTTGCCAGGTTGATGGCGATCGCCGCGGCGAAGAAGATGTAGCACAGCGTGAGGCAGTGCTTGGGCAGCGAGGAGAAGCCGTCGACGCCGAGGATGGCCATGTTCCGGTACACGATGGCGTACGGCGCCGGGTACTCGGTGCCGCTCACGCCGATGTCGGCGAAGGCCTTGTAGAAGAGCCAGAAGACGCACGGCGCGATGACGCACCCCATCGCCGTGCCGATCACCTGGCTGACGAACATGGACCTCGGCGACGCCAGCGTCAGGTACCCCGTCTTGAAGTCCTGCATCAGGTCGGACGCCGTCGACACGATGCTCATCATCACCCCGCAGGCGGCGAGCCCGACCAGCACGCCGCCGTTCGACGCGCCGGCCCACGCGCCGAAGATGAAGATGGCGAGCTTGCCGTACGTGGACGCGAGCGACCAGTCCGTCAGCCCGGCGCCGTAGGCGTTGCAGAAGGCCAGCACGGGCGCGAAGACGTAGGCGACCAGGATGTAGTACCACTTGAGCTGCGGGAAGATCTGCGGGAGCGTGCCGATCGATACGGCGGCGACGGCGACGTACCCCCCGAACGCGACCGTCTTGGGGATCTGGTCCTTGAGGAAGAGCTCGGTGCGGCGCTCGTCGTCGAAGGAGATGGCTTCAGTGGCCACCATCGGGCTGCCATTGTTGGAGACCGGAAGCGTGCTGTTCTTCTTCATCATCACGACGAAGCCAGCGGTTGTGCGGATGAGCACCTTCACGAAGTTGTACAGGCCGTCTCCAAGAATCAAGGCAATGGATATGAACACCTGCAGTAGTCAGGAACACCACATTAGCTGCTTGGTAACTATCAACTATAGCTGTATAGCAGCAAAAGGGAGGATTTTTTTTTTTTGAATGTTTACTTACCCTGTAGCCTTGCAGTCCATGAAGACTAGTTTCTGAGAGAGAGGCAGCATACCAACTCCCTTTCTTGTTTCTTATCAGGGGCCACATGATTCCCCATGAGAGGATGCCTCCCAATAGAACAGATACGTTCACAATGTGGGGGCAAATCATCCCTACTCCAACATAGGTAGGGGAGAAATCAAAGTAAAACCTGAAAGATGGAATGTGAAATTGTGAAGTTCAGCAAGGTAAGCTGTTCAGTGTTCTAACCAAATACATTCAGAACAGTGTTGGAACAGAATCAAACAAGGATCAAGCACGGATCGAGAGGGGAGGGACCCTCGGGGGTCCTTTCGGAGCCCCTCCGCAGGCACCTGCGGACTCCAGTTCGGAGGATCCTACGGAGCCTTCTTGTCTATAGAAGGAGGAATCCCTATGGGTGAAATTTGGCGAAGTCACTCCCCCAACAAACACTAAGCTATTTTCTAATATTAGACATCTAACACTCAAATGTGTCATCATTCAAACCCAAGATATAGGCATCGAAAATCAATCTTCTTGCCTGTTTTTATAGGCTTGAAGGCCTAATGTAGGGAAGCTCTGGAATCCACAACCATCTCCGGCAGTATAGAACCACTGAAAGAAGCCCCAAACGAAGCTGAACAAAAAGAATTTCCCCAGTTCCTTTACTTGCTTCCTGAAGCATAAAACTATGTTGTCAGTAACTCTGTTCCACTCATGTCATGCTAATTTACGGCACTAAGGAAATATAGCAGTAGCAAAAAGTAGAACAGTCAGATGGTTTACTTAGCAAGCTTTGCACCCTCTGGGGTGTGGAAGCCATTGATAAGATAAGCTGTTGCCGTGCCACTTGGATAGGTCAGTTTGTAGTCGACAATCATAATCTGAAAAAAAAATCAGTTGATTAGTAAACAGCAATTCTTGCGAATCTGTAAGTCCGAAACAGGTAGAAGACTTTACTTTTCTCAGAGGCACAAGAGCAAGTAGCCCAATAAAACTGACGAGGAAGAGGAATCCAATCATCCACCCGATGTGAGGGTTCTTGACATTCTGAGCATTATTAGCCTCTGTTGCTTGCTTAGCAATTGTTTCACTCATACCAAACAAGTATGTGCCAAACCCACCTGATCATTTGGGACGAGTCAGTACTCCGTACAGTAACATGCTCATTACGTCTCCATACTTAGAAAGGGAAAGTAAAGCAGTGAAGAATGGCACATGAAAATGATCTAGCAGTATCTCGGACCCAATTCATTATCTAAAAAAAAAAATCTCGGACCCAAAAATAACTTAGTTATTGGATTAGTATGGACGGGAAAAAAAGACTGCACTACTAATGATTAATACCAAAGTAGTTTTGGTGGGTGGATAGGAACTAGGAAAGGAATACTAAAAGAATATAATTGATTTATTTGTTGACTGATAGGAGTAATAAGTAAGGAAGTAAAGTGAATTTATTTTCAGAACTTATTTTCAAACAAATTGTAGATCATACACATCAATAACTCAAAAAAGTATGACAAGATTTTCTTAAGTTGGTGTGGTAAATAATTTGATCACTTTAACTTAGATAGTGTGACAACTTTTATTTAGAAATGATGATGAAATGTGGCCGATAACCAACAACCCATAAAAATAAACTGACTGGGTGAGGAGTAGACTTGAAATAATTATATTATGAAAACACCAAAACCGGATAAGATATGGAAGGAGCGATCCATTGTTTATGTTAAGTCAACAGTGTCACATCAGCATTCGTCTACTCAAATATTATTGTGTGTTTCAGCTTGAGGTAATCCTGGATTTGGACATACGGAGTACTGCAATTTGGCTGGACAACGCTGACTGCTGATCACGCTGACGAACACGTGATTAGAAAATTATAAAGTGTAGCGGTATCTTCGAACTACTCCAAAACTTGCTATTTTTTCTAGGTGAGTTCGTACAAACTTTTTAAAATTGTTATGTGTGAGTTTTTTCTTACTGATTTTCGTCAAAAAATCCCAGTGAAAATCTTTGTATATAAGTTCTCATGCAAGAACTGCAAGAACAAAGTGGAGTACTATAGTTCCAACGGAAAACAATGGTGGTATATATATTCTCTTTTTTCGCATCCCCCAACTCTACTTTTAATTCAGTTTTCGAGCCCAAGTACCAAATACTCCTATATGATTAATTGAGTTTTAATTATTATAAACTTAAAAATAAAATTATTTGTATTTTAAAGTAATTTCTATATAAAAAGTTTTGGCACAAAATGCATGCACAATTCAGCAATTTAAAAGACGTGCTAACAAAAACTAAGATAAAATCTAAATATTAATCAGAAAAGAGCGCTAGCCAAGATGAAAAGCGTGTTTATTATTGATGCAATCAGAGTGATGTAGCCTACTGGAGTCTCGAGGTGACCCCCAGAAATGGAAGTAGTAGCTACGTTGACTTTGAAGATCTTACGGTCTTACCGCTGAAGGCGATGCCGTAGGCGGCGACGACGCAGGTCTGGATGACCGTGTTCTCCTGGCGCGTGAACGGCTGCCGGAGGAGCCCCACCCGCTCGATGGCCGCCGTCCACAGGCGGACGAAGAAGAAGCCGAGGAGGCCGGCGGAGACGTTGAGCGACGGGATGATCCCGGTGGTGAGGTTCAGCTTCATCACGATGATGCTGAACATGATGGAGAGGAAGAAGCTCACCACGAACGCGCGCACCGTCAGCTGCTCCCGCCACGACGGCACCGCCCTGTCCACGAACGCGCGCTCCACCGACGACGGCCCCTCCTCCTCCCCTTCCGCCGCCGCCGCCGCCAGCTGCCGCTCAGTTCCGACGCCGTTGGCATCCTTGCCGGCGCCGTGCCGGTGGCGGAGCGTGCTCGCCTCCACCATCTCCTCGTCGCCGCCGCCGCCGGAGGCGTTCGCGTGCGACGCCATTGCTTGCGTTGCTGCTTGGACCAGTCACCAGTAAGCACGCGCGCGAGAGGCGTTCGCTGTGCGGACACTACGGAGCGAGGTGGTGGTGGGCCGCCGTTGTATTTATCGTGAAATACACTAGTACTACACACCATCCGGTGTGAATCTGAATATCTGATGGTGAAGAAGCGAATGGGCGTGCGTTTACTTGTTGACCGCCCAGAATCCTGATTGGTTGTCAGTGGCTGGCTGGCTGGCTGGCTGATTAATCAATGTATGTCTTGATCGAGTGTATTTATTTTGTGATCGAGCGCTTAGATGAATGATGTTTTCGATGGTCACATTTTTTAGCTAGTAGTAGGATCTTCGTATTCAATGTGATGTTGCAGACGTTGTAGCGTAGTATCCAAGTGGCTATTGTTTTTTAACCTCCTCTTGAGCTTTGTTCCTATTTTGATATCAGTTCTTTGTCATCC